TGTGTTTTGTTTTTTTTTAAGATTTTATTTACTTATTTGACAGAGAGAGACACAGCGAGAGAGGGAACACAAGCAGAGGGAGTGGGAGAGGGAGAGGCAGGCTTCCCGCTGAACAGGGAGCCCAATGTGGGGCTCGATCCCAGGACCCCAGGATCATGACCTAAGCTGAAGGCAGATGCTTAACGACTGAGACACCCAGGCGCCCCCAGAGTTTCCTTAAATTAAAAATAGAACTGCCATATTGTAGGGGAGGGGAAAAAGTTTCCTCTACCCTTCTAGATCCTTTTGGCTGTTCTAAAAATTAAATTGACCATGGGGTGCCTCAGTGGCAGAGTCAATTGGGCATCCAACTCTGGTTTTGGCTCAAGTCATGATCTCATGGGTCGTAAGACTGAACCCTGTGTCAGGCTCCGCACTCAGCATGGAGTCTGCTTAAAGACTCTCTTTCTCTCTTCCTCCCACCTAAAATAAGTAAATAAATCTTAAAATAAATAAATAAATACTAAATTGACATAAGACAGATTAATTTGCATGTACAGGAGCTCATAGAAATGGAAGACTCAGAGAAGTGACCAAAGCAGGCAGCTTTTAGACAAAGCAATAATACATTTGTGAAAAGTGGACAAGACAAAGAAGTTTGGGCTTGGGTACTAAATTAGTAAAGAATAAGGTTTGTTTATACAGCCTCTTCACCACTGAACTCCCTATCTCTTGTGCTCCTTTACAGTTAATCCCTTCCCCCCATTATCCCCAGCATTAGGGAACCACTGATTTTACTTCTGTCCCTTCTAGCTTTGTCTCTTCTTGTATATTATATATAAAGGAGCACACAATATGTAACCTCTTGTGTCCTGCTTCTCTCACTTAGCATAATGCTTTTAAGATTAATCTATGTTGGGGCGCCTGGGTGGCTCAGTTGGTTAAGCATCTGCCTTCGGCTCAGGTCATGATCCCAGGGTCCTGGGATTGAGACCTGTATTGGGAGCGGGGAGCCTGCTTCTCCCTCTCTCCCCTGCTCGTGCTTTATCTCTCGCTATCTCTCTTTCAAATAAATAAAATCATTTTTTAAAAAAGATTATGTTGACAAATGTCAGCAATTTGTTTCTTTTTACTGCATGAAGATATTGAAATCTATTGATTTTCTTACAGGGACGCCTGGGTAGGTCAGTTGGTTAAGCATCTGCCTTCAGCTCAGGTCATGATTCCAGGGTCCTGGGATCGAGCCCCATGTCAGGCTCCCTGCTTGGCAGGGAGTCTGCTTCTCCCTCTCCCTCTGCTGCTCTCTCTCACTCACTCTCTCTCTCTGTGTCAGATAAATAAATAAAATCTTTAAAAATAAATAAATAAATAACTGCTTGAACGAGTGAGGGAATGTCCATCATAACAGCACATACAGCACTCGGAGGAGTTCCAAAACAGCACTAATTGAGGCCCTGGGTTTCAGAGAGCTTTTTAAGACCCACAGCTCTTCCAGGTTTTACTTGTAGCTCCTCTGCAGGTTCCTCGTGGATTTATCTTGAGTGCACTGGTGACTGATGCGGGAGAGGGAGCTGAGGAGTAACACAACCCACTGAACTCAGAAGTGCTCTGTCCCTTGCTGACCTGAGCTTTTTCCTAGAGCGGGCCTGGCTGCCCTTGTTGGAGGAGCTTCCCTCGGAGTTCACCTGAGCTTTCCTCAGATCCTCTCCACCCAGGCATGTCTCCCATGCTGCTTCTTTCTCTTGCCCTTTTTTCTCCCCATCCTTTCTTAAGAATCCGGGAAGTATTTGTCAGCAGTTCTTGTATATTTTGGTGTCACTTTTCTTTACTCTCAGTGCAAGGGAGACTTACCCATTTTGTTTATTTTAGGTTGGGAGCGCTTGTTTGAAACTACAGTTTCTGAAGAAGAAAATCAGGAAGTAATGAATAAACTCCTAGGTGACAGTCCTTTTGATTTCAAGCCAGGGAAAGCCTATATAAATGAGGACAAGCTAGAGAAGCAACAAGGCAAAAAGAACAAACCTTTCAGGAAAGTCTTAGTCACCATCAAAAACACCTACCTGAGGGAGAGGAGCTTTACAAGTATTGAGCTCGGGAAAAATCTCAGTCTGAAATCATCCCTTATTAGAAAACCCAGACTCGTTTCCAGAGGAAGGAAACCCCATTCCCAGCAGTATTCAGTTCTGTTTAAACAACTGGGAGTCAATACGGTGCGCAAATGTTACAAATGTAACCTCTGTGGGAAAATCTTCCTCCACAGTTCTTCCCTGAGTAAACACCAGAGAATCCACACCGGAGAGAAGCTCTACAAATGCAAGGAATGTCGGAAAGCTTTCAGCCAAAGCTCCTCTCTCACTCAGCACCTGAGAGTTCACACGGGAGAGAAACCTTACATCTGCGGCGAATGTGGGAAAGCCTTCAGTTTCACCACATCCCTCATCGGACATCAGAGGATGCATACTGGAGAGAGACCCTATAAATGCAACGAGTGTGGCAAGACATTTAAAGGAAGCTCATCCCTGAATAATCACCAACGAATTCATACCGGAGAAAAGCCCTATAAATGTAACGAGTGTGGGAGAGCCTTTAGCCAGTGCTCATCTCTTATTCAACATCACAGGATTCATACTGGAGAGAAACCCTACGAATGTAGTCAGTGCGGGAAAGCCTTTACTTCAATATCTCGGCTAAGTAGACACCATAGAATTCATACTGGAGAGAAACCCTTTAATTGTAATGAGTGTGGGAAAGTATTCAGTTATCACTCGGCCCTTATCATACATCAGAGAATCCACACTGGGGAGAAACCTTATGCGTGTAAAGAATGCGGGAAAGCCTTCAGCCAAAGCTCTGCTCTGATACAGCATCAAAGAATTCATACAGGAGAAAAACCCTACAAATGCAACGAATGTGGGAAGGCCTTCTCCTGGATTTCACGGCTTAATATACACAACAGAATCCATACCGGAGAGAAACCGTATAAGTGTAAAGAATGTGGAAAAGCCTTCAGTTCTCACTCAGCGGTTAATACTCATCGAAAAATTCACACTGGAGAGAAACCTTATAAATGTAATGACTGTGAAAAAGCCTTCAACCAAAGCTCAGCTCTCATTCAGCACCAGAGAATTCACACTGGAGAGAAACCATTTAGCTGTAAAGTATGTGGGAAAGCCTTCCGACAAAGCTCATCCCTTATGACGCATATGAGGATTCATACAGGAGAAAAGCCGTATAAATGTAAAGAATGTGGGAAGGCTTTTAGTCAGAGCTCATCCCTTACCAATCATCAGAGGACTCATACTGGAGAAAAACTATAAATAAAACACATGTGGTGGAAGGTCTTCCAACTGAAGTTCATTCCATACTCAATTTTGAAAAACTCATCCTGGGCAGGAAGTGATGAAGAGTAGTTAATTGTGAGGTAAACTTCAGAATGTAGACCTCCTCAGACATCAGAGACTTCATGATGCAGGTAACATTAGGTGTATTAGGAAAGCTTCTGTGAAATGTGTTTTTCATAGTTTTTAAGTTATTACTATAAGGTAGAGAATGTGTAAGATTCTTTTATCTTCTCCCGGCTGACGTGCAATAAGAGCCCCCAGCTTTCGCAAGCGTCCCTGGGAAGCGTGTTGATTTATGTGAAAGTGCAGCCATAAAATCCAGACTTTAGATTAATCCAGACATCTATTTTTTGAAATGACATTTCAGTGTTATGCAAGCCAGTTATCCTAAGAAGACTGTTTTGGAGAAGACATGTAAGCAGGTGACCTCTAGCTACCTCACTGTCACTAAAATGAGTTCTTTAATAGTTTAAGGCAAATCGCGTACTTGGTGGTTGTGAAAATTTTTGGATTGTTTCTTCTTTGCTTTCCAAGCCATTTACCTGAGAAGAAAATCACTCTGTAAACTCTGCAGGCATATGGGCCTGTGAGTTTTCTTCCCGATGACTTGTTCCCAGCTCTGAAGCAGATCTAAAGTCACTTTATTTTAAATCACAAAATGCATGGTATTTCACTTGGTTTTATCATAAAGTGATTACCTTTGCTGTGTGAGGTTGAGAATTAAAGGTTATTCAGACAACTACTGCTTTTGCAAGTTACTCCACTGATAAATGTTAGTGATGATCTTACAGTGTAAGATGGGAGCATGCCTCTCGGCACCCAAGGCTTTGCCTGCTTCATTGAGCTCTCTGGTTATCATCCAGGAAGGCCCAGGAAGAGTGTGGATCACCATTCGTCCTAGCTGGTGGTAAAGTGAACCAGGTAACTTTCACTCCCTCCCACAGTTTGAGGGCCATAAGACAGAAATTGAGACTTTAAGTTCAGTAAATGGGCTGTTAGATGCTTCAACAAGTTAGCACGTTTCAGCATTTCTAAAATGTGAATAATAATTCTGGCAATGTAAAAAGTTATCTCCCAAGTCAAACTAAAATTGTTGAACTTTACGGAAGCAACATCCTTTGGTGTTGTCCAGTATCATCAAGAGTGGGCAAGCACTAAAGGACTGAACTACCTATTTTGTTTAAAAACAAACAAACAACTAGTTTCTTTCTCTTTGTCAAAGAGTTAAAAAAATAATAAAAATACCTCAGAAAAGGTACTATTGGGGGTGGAGACTGAGCTAAAGCAAAAATCACTGGATTCAACTTCTGCTTCCTGGGACCAACTAATCAGTCTTACTGTTCCAGACTCATGAGGAACAGACTTTTGAGTCATGTAATCCTCCACTGCTGTGCCTTTTTCCCTACAACCATTCTTTTAAATTCTCTAATTTCTGGGAAAATAAAACTTCCCTGTCTTAGTCCACTTAGGTTGCCATAATAAATACCACAGCCTGGGTGGCTTATAAACCACTGAAACTTACTTCTTAAAAGTCCAGAGGCTGGGAGGTCCAAATTCATGGCACCTGCATGCGTGTTTTCTGGTGAGGATCCTCTGGTTCCTCGCCGGTGCCTTCTTGGAACCTCACATGGTGGAACGGGTGAGGGAGCTCTCCGAGGCCTCTTATGAGGGCACTAATCGAATTCATGAGGCTCCACCCTCATGACAGTCACCTCCCAAAGGCCCCACCTCCTAATACTATCACCTCTGGGGTTAGGTTTTCAACACGAATTTTGAAGGGGCACACGTTTAGACCATTGCCTCTCCAAATAACAACATAGTCCTAAAAATAATCCCCCCAAATAAATCTGAATAAAGTTATATGAAGAAAATATCAAGCCCAGTTATTTTTACGTTGAGGTCTCTCAAAGTTGCAAGTAACAGGCAATTTGAGTCTTACGCACGATCTTCCAGAGGAGATCATGTACAAGCACAATGATTCCAATATAACCCAGGACCAAAATTGACAAGGAAAGTACAAGAAATTAAAAAATGTTGGCCTATATCATCCATGAACAAAAATGTAAAAACCCTAAACAAAGCAAATGTAATCCAGAAGTACCTCAACATAGTTAATGCATCATGATAAATGTAGATTTTTCATGGGAATTGGCGGGTTATTTAGCATTAGGAAACTTACAGATGCTGTGTACCACATGGGCAGGTTAAAGGTGCAAAATCCACATGTTCATCTCAGTAAATGCAGGCAAAGCAATCTCAATACTCACCACCCATTCATTTAAAAATTCTTAACTAAGCAGAGGAGATAGTTTACTTAACCTGGTAAAAGGGTTTTTGCCAGAAACCTGCTGGAAAAAAATGGTAAAATGTTAGAAGCAGTCATGACAGGAGGAACATAGGGAAAGAACAAATTACTCAATAATGAATAATGGCTCTAGAAAAAATGGTTCATCCACATAGAAAAATTGGATGCCTACCATCACCACAAAAAGAATCGTGTGAAAGGCAAAATTGTATCTTTTGGAAGAAGATGTAAAGAAAAACTTTATGACCTCACAATAGGGAAGGATTTTTTTAAACAGGATACAAATAAGCCATGAAATCTTTTTTTATATTTGCTCACATTAAAAAAAAAGAACATCTGGTTATCAAAATACACCAAAATGGAGATGAAAAGTCAAGACATAAAACAGGAGATCTTTTCACAACATTTTTGACAAACGCTTACTGTCCGGAAAATTTAAATACTTTGTACAAATCAACTTAAAAAAAAAGACAACCTTGTAGGAAAAAAAGTGGTCCAAATACATGACTACTTATTTCACAGAAGAGGAAATACAGATTTATAAAAACATGAAAAGATGCTTAAAAATGGAAATTAGAATCACAGGATTTTATGAGATTTTATGACTTTTTAAATAGACCTTATTTTTTAAAATTTATTTCTGATTTTTTTAGTAGGCTCTATATCCAACATGGGGTTGAACGCACGATCCCATGATTAAGAATCACACACTTCACTGACTTAGCCAGGCACCCCAAATTTCATGGGGTTTTTTGTTTTGTTTTTTAAGATGAGTAAAAACAAAGATGTGTGACATTACTGAGTTTTGGGATGTATGTGGAGTAACTGGAATCCATGCTCCACTGTGGGAGTGTAAATTGATAACACCATCGGCATCCTATAAAGTTGAACATGTCCTATGCATAGATGATAGATAAATGTGTGCATATGAGCAGTAAGAGACAGGTATAAAGATATCCTTAGCAGCACTGATCATAGAAGCTAATGTTTGGAAGTAGTCTGAATGTTAATAGGAAAACGGAGAATTTTGGAATATTAACAATGTAGAGCAGCAGGGAGAATGAATGAACCAAAGCTATAAGCAAACACAGATGAATTTCAAAGCCTGTTGACTTTTCAAAAGTCAGAGGAAACAACATATGGTATAATGACATGTTCTGCAATATTAAATTGATTCTAAGTGATTTATACATGTGGTAAGATACTAAAAATAGCAAGTGGTTGAATGACAAGGTAGTCTAGCTGTCCCTTGCTGTGTAACAACTCATCCCCACACTTAGTGGCTTAAAGCAACAGTTTATTAATGCCATTGGTTCCATATTTAGGTTCAGTTGGGGAATTCGTACTTGGCGTCTCTAATGCATTTGCAGTCGGCAGCGGCCGCTCCCCTGAGCTTGGTGTCCAGGGTGGCTGGCACCCAGTGATGTCCGCTGCTGAGAGCCTGGTTGGGTTTCACACAGAAGGGTGGCTGGTTCCTGAGAGGCAGTGTCCCAAGACCCAGCATCCTAGAAGATCTACATTGAAAGTGTAGATCTTAGAACTCCACTTTGGAAGCCACATGACCTCAATTCTGTATTCTCTTGGTGAAAAATGATTTATAGATGTCCAGATTTCAAGGGAAGAAGGTGATACAAGGGTGTGAATACCAGGGTTGTGGTTCGTTGTGGGGACCATAATTTGGAGACTAGCTACCATACGACCACACAATTCAGGTTGGTGATTACCTCTGGCTGTGAGGCAAGGAAGTGACTTGGGGAGGAGCCCGGGGTTCCTCAGCTTGCCTGATGCCTGAGAGACCCTGCCTTCTCAGGAAGAGGTTGCCCAGGCCAGCCAGAATGAGGATCAGTAGGAAGGCCAGTGTGTATATCAGTAAAAATGATTAGAGTTTTTTGGCCCAACTCTATACTGGGTCATTTGAGGTAGGATAAAACAGATCTTACTGCCTGATCACCCTAGGTGAAGTGCACCTCAAGTTTAAGAGGTTGTATCCAAGGGCCATTTCGAGGTCGTAACATTTTTTTTTTTTTTAGAAGAGAGTGAGAGAGCAGGGGGAGGGACAGAGGGAGAGAGAATCTCAAGCAGACTCCGTGCTCAGCACGGAGCCAGACTCGAGGCTCAATCCCCTGAGATCATGACCTGAGCCAAAACCCAGAGTTGGGTGCTCAACCGACTGTGCCCCCAAGGTTATAACATTCTTCAGGCCACTGTTGAATTTAAACATGTCTCCTTAAAACTATCAACACCGGGCGCCTGGGTGGCTCAGTTGGTTAAGCGACTGCCTTCGGCTCAGGTCATGATCCTGGAGTCCCGGGATCGAGTCCCGCATCGGGCTCCCTGCTCAGCAGGGAGTCTGCTTCTCCCTCTGACCCTCCTCCCTCTCATGCTCTCTGTCTCTCATTCGCTCTCTCAAATAAATAAATAAAATCTTTAAAAAAAAAAAAAACTATCAACACCTCCCTTTCCTGTCTATACTTTCCCTTTTCATTCACCTCCCTAGATCACCAGAGGAAGAGAGATTGGTTCCTACCCTGAGTCAGGAAACAGATGCTAAACTAAAAACGTGCATAAGAGGACTAGGCAAAGAAAGACTCATCATTGAGTTGTGAACATATTCGCCTTGCCTGGTTTCTCTTATTTTCAAAGAGGCTTGTTCAGAATCTAGGCAGAAGAGAATACTGTCCATTTTTATAGCTTCCTAATAGGCCATTTTCGAAACAACCTGAAAAAGAATATGCTTTACCTTTTGTGATATGATTGACATGCCTGATACATTGAATTTATGGTGTTCATAGTAATTAAATTATTATTTAAAATGTCCACCTTTTCAGGTGGGTTTGGCCCTTCTCTTGTTGGCTGTTGCATTACCAAACCTGTTTTCTCATGAAGAGTTCTGTGAAATGAATAGGCCATTTTTTTTTTTTTTTCTAGACTGTCCCTCCATTGGCGTTGTCCGGTGTTTTCCATATGGTTAGGTTTATGCTGTGCTTTTTTGGTAAGAAAACCACCAAAGCAATATTGTATTCTCAGTTCATGGTCTTATCACATTGGGAGCCTTGTGATGTTGGTAATTTCAGCTTTATCTTGGTTGAGGTGGTGTCTGCCTGGTCTCCCACTCTAAAGTCACTATTTTTCTCTTCGCATTCATTAGTGTCTTGCGAGGTGATCCGATGAGTGCATGCATGTGTATCTGTACTAGACAAACTCACCTCCACCAATTTTAGCATCTATAGATGACGATTTATTATCATCACAGTGGTCTCCACATGGAGATCTCATAATTCTGTCATTTCTTATACTCTTATTAATTGGCTTTCCACTTTAGGGAAGTGTTTTCTGTTCTTATGACTGGAAGCATGGTTTCTTATTTTATTCCATGGACTGTAATCTGCTAATATCGTTGTGTATGTTGATGCTGAAATTGTCCCAGACTTGGC